TTTTATTTTTATTTTCCCTGTTCTGATCTTCATTTATTACTTTCTTTTTGTGTGATAGTTCTCTTCTTGTTTAGTAGTTTCCTTGATTGTGTATGTCGTGTTTATTTAACAACCAGCCCTAGGTCTCTTCCTCGTACTCTCCATCTGCTCATTCTCTGTCTTGTCTTACAATGGTGCTCATCATCACTTACACGGGTACATTGTTCCTTGAGCCTATCATCTCAAACTATCATCGTCACATCCAGTTTTTTATCAATCGCCCCTTGATTTCCTTCTGTCTTGTGCCGTTCCCTGCTTTAGTGGACGCTGGCCTTGATATTACTCCCTATGTTCAGAACCTTGGTTGGACCTCTCTCCTTGATGCTCCTCTAATGACCTCGTTTTGCCCTGAAATTATCCAACTGTTCTAGTCCAATCTTCAATCCCCTGGGCTGTCATCTCGTTCTTTTCACTCTCTGGTCTTTGGCCATGCCTTCGCTATTCATATTGATGATCTCAGCATGCTCTTGAATATTCCTGTTCATGGGGCTACTTTAGCCGATGAGTCTGAATTCCCCCTGTTTGCCTTCAACCTTGCTGCGGAATTTCTTGCTATTACTGGCCATCCTCCCGGACCAAATAATACTTTACCTGTCACTGTCCTTCCCCCACCCCTTCGTCTCCTCCACTATTACATTTTTCGAGTCTTCCTTCCCAGAGATCACTCTGTTACGACTATTCTCCCTCTCGATCTTTGGATAATCTCGAATGCTGTCCATGGTACCCCTCTGAATTACTTTCACTTATTTTTTGGGTCCCTACTGCGATTCACTGAACCTGTCCTAGGTGAAGCCCTGCCTTTCGGTCCCCTTGTGTCGACCCTTCTAGTTCACCTTGAGATAAACCTGTCATCCTTTATCACTTTCGATCCTGTGTTCTCCCCTGTGGCTGCGGATATTCTTGAAGCTCTGGAGATTGCGATTGAAGGGGAGGAACCTCTTGACGAGGACAGTGGAGACGAGGACACTGTCTAGGAAGAAGTCGACAGCAGCACTAGTGTTAGTTCCAGCGAGAGCAGTGACACCAATAACAACACCAGTGATGATGTTTAACTTAGTTCGATTGTTTAGCTAGTCTTATGGTTGTCGGCTTAAATTTCGTGATAGATTATAATTGCTTCGGTCTTTTATGATTGTTTCTGTTAAAACTGTGTTGGCTTTGTTCTCTATGAATAGATTATGCTTGCTTCGGTTTTTTATGATTGCTTCGGTTAAAACTGTGTTGGCTTTGTTATCCATGATAAACTCCTTTTCTCTATGCGGATTGATTGTGCCTCTTAAAGAGATGTGAAATAACTATCCTTTTGTTAAATACTAACTCCTTGAGAAAAGGAAAGGTAGTGTCATCTTCTTTGTTTCAGGCAATCGACAATCTCTTATTTAAGGGAAGATTGTAGGAAGATTTGGGAAATCAGAGACAGCCGACAAAATAGCTTGTTGGGAATAAATCATCATCACTAGAATCTTGGAAATCAAGTCGAAATCAATCAACTGATTGATTGCATAATCACAGCACAAGAATCACTCCTTTGATCAAGCATTGCAAATAAGGAAGGTTCCAACTCACTCAAACCTCCTCCTCCTCATCTATAAAAGGGACTGAAACGTATTGCCTCCTCACTTTTGTGAGAGAACGGAAAAGGGTTTCTAAACAAAAGGGTTTAGCAAAGGGGAAGAGGTTCTTTGCTAGTGGCTGATACAAATTCCGGAATTTGGAATTTGGGTTGTTTATTCGTCATTCTACTTTGTTTCTAGAATTTCTTTCTTTGAGTCTGTATTTCGATTTGCTTCTTTTGTACTTGTAAGTTAGATCGTAAAGAAAATAAAATAGAGTCGTAGGTGTGGACGTAGCCCATTGCACCAGGGTTAACCACGTTAAAAATATCGTGTGTTCTTTAGATTTATGCACTTTTCTTTTCGTACTTCATCTTCCATATCAATTCTCTGTTTTCCAAGGATTTTGATCCAAGGAAGAAAACAGACCTAAGTGTTCTCTATATTGGTCTGCTCGGCTGGGCTTACCAATCCTCAAGCCCATCTTAACGTTGGCTTTCTGCTCATAGATTTCAAGTGGGCTTGAGAAGTTGTGGCCCTAACTGAAGAGGGGAATCAGAACGAAAACAATGAAGGACTTCTCCTTCATTTTCGATCTTCTTCCTCTTCTGCTTCTTCCTTACTTTCCCAAACTTACAATCCCTAAAATCGGTCCCTTTGATTACAGTTGGGGGCTTGGTGGTTTATGATGGTTTGGGGAGGGTTTGTTTTGTTCAAGGTTTTCGTTATGCAAATCTGGAGGATCCTTTCTGGTGGAATTGGTGGCGTTTCGTGATGCAATTCAGTGGTGCTCTTTGAAGGGTCTAGTTCAAGTGCAATTCTGCGGGGATGCGAAGGTCGTCATTGAGAAAATTCAGAATATGGATGCTCGGGATATGAAGGGTGGGCGGATTCTTGAAGAAATTCGGAAGTTGCGACATCAGTACCTGCGCTTGGAAATGGCCTTTATTGGCAGGATTAACAATCGGGTGGCCCATGAGGTGGCTGGGAAGACCCTTTCTTTATTGCCTGCGGTTGTATATACTTTTGATTTTAGTCGTTGGTTTGCTCTTGGGTTGTAAACTTTGCTAGCTTTTTGCCTTGGTAATACAACTGAACTATTGGTAAAAAAAAAAATAGTTCACCACCTAATACTATATCTATTCTTTCCATGCTAATTCTAAATGACACGTATGTCCTTCCAACTCCGAAGTATATAGAGAGAACTATATAATTTTTATTCACTTGCAGTAAAATTGAAATGGGAAGTTTTTTCTAATTTCAAATTCCAATAAAGAAAAAACAAACACATGAAACAATGTACCAAATGTGACTAAAAAAATACATACAAAATAACATTATGAGAAGTCCAAACCATCTAGTATCCACTTGCAATCTGACATAATTTCTTCAGTCTCTTCAAAAAAATTAGGCAGCGGTCCAGACTCTAGCAGTATCGTTTGCACTTTTTGCTACAAAATAGAACACACCAGCAACACAGTAAACTAACCAGACATATTATAATGCACACCACATAAACCCTAAAAAAACCAGAACTAGCAGAAAATGTAACTCACCGCCAGCCCTGTATAGAACATCCATCTTTTCAGTTTCCCCCTTCTCACTTGCTCCCGATTCAGATAGGAAGAATAGCAGTCAACAACATCTACACTCATCAATTTCCCATGTGCGAAAGTCTTTGTGTCCTTTCTGAACAAGGAATCGTATTTGTTTGCGTCTTATCAAGAGCAGGAGTGAAACACAAAAGTAAGTGGGGTGCAAGTATAGTTAAGAAGCCCTCCGCTTAATTCCTTTACTTGATCACAAGCTTAGAAGCTTTAAGGCCAAAAAGGAAGGGGGAGAGAGAGATGATTTTATAGTTTCTAGTGCGAGAGAGCTAAAATCCGATCCCCTCACCCACCGGTGTAAATGCTCTATTTATAGGCTACCACTAGGTGGGTGGGTTTTCGAGATGACAGGACAGTTGGAAAAGACAGGGGTTTAGGGTATGATGAGGTCTACGAATAGTGCTGAGTAGCCTTGTCAATCATCCGGTGTCGTTTTTGAGTATTGCACGCAGATGGCGCTATCGCGCCCCCGCTCTTCTTGGCGACTGGCGGAGATGGAGCGGTGTCACTGCTGCGGTAACGCGGATGGCGTTGTCGCGCTTCCATTCCTCTTGGTAATCCGCATTAACTTTCTGCGTGGAATGAATGCCGCGTCACCGCTTGTGTGGTCTGATCTGTCTTCCGCGAGTGAGACATTGTGAGCATCCTAACTGGCGCGCCGTAATAGGCACGTCGATTAATGGAGCGGATGAAGCCGAGCCATTCCCCCAACAATTGCCCCCTAGCAGGGGGTATTCCGCGAGTGCCCCCTGTTCAGTTTGTGCGTCTCGAGATGGCTCGGGTGAAGGCTACTTCTTTGTATGACTTTTCCTATGCGCGCATTTGTGTTTACGCCCTTCCTTTAGCGAGGTTTTCCTTAGGTGCTTGTGCGTCTGGTTCACTTTTCATTGACGGAGTGTGGCTTTTCTTTTTGATTTTTTCGCGTTCCGCTGGTGTATCCTGCACCCCAGGCGGGGCGCGTGCGTAGTGGGTGCGCCGCCTTTAGGGACCAATCGCCATCTGATCATCGTCCACATGGCAGCGTCTTGTCCACCCATTCGAGCGGTTACTTTTTGGTTTTGAATTTTGAATTCCCGATGTGATGCTTACGCTTCCCAATCCAGTTACCGCCTTTTGTCTTCTCTTTCTTTACCTTATAAATAGTGGTTTTGTGAAAGTTTTTGCTTCCCAGATTCTTCTCCTTCGTTTGCGACCTTAGTTATATCTCTGCTCTGTCTGCTTTTCTAATTTCCCAATGCCTGGTAGTGGTTCAATCCCTGAGATCGAGGTCGTTTTCGGCGAAGAAGGTAATCTTCCTTCCTCTCATATTTCTACTGATCCGTCGCTGGAATTGCGGGCTTCCGGCGACGAGGGCAGCGGCAGAGTTCCATCGACGCCGTCGTACGACATCGACGTCGGTCGTGATCTCCCCCACGGTTACGCAGAAGCATGCGGGCATGCTGGCGTGTTACACTCCGCTCTTCCCAAGTATCAAAATGACTATTATACCCTTGGGTCAAGTACCACCGTAATATCAATAAGGACTAAAAATGTTAACTCCTGGTTAAGCGGCGTCAAATTTGGACATAGATTGAGGAAGTTATGAAAGTTAATTGAGTTTCGGATTAAACTCACACGTAATTGTGAGATTCCCAAAATATCCTCTAACTAACTAAACCCCAGATCCTCTACCACACTCGGTGTCAACCCAAAATAGCAAAACCCTCGACAGCCTTTTACTCCACCACCAAAGCGACCGCCCATTTCTTATGCGCAGCTGAGATAATCTCTCTACAATAAGACGTGCCCTCTTGAGCTGTCGTTATCTCTGATCTTCATCCCGCCGAGACAGTCTCTCTAGTACGAGACATGCTTGCTTAAGCACGCAGGAGGGGGAATTCAGCAGCACCAATTTTTTTATGGTGGTGTGTGATTGTGGCGGATACGTGTGATTGTTCTCGATTCGGCGAAGGAGCTCTTGGCGCGGCCCGTGCTTACCCGGATAATCCAAAGTCTCGATAATTAGCTCTCGGTCTTCCAGTCGAAAAACAACGTCGATGAAGACGTGTCGGTGCACTATTTCGCGGTGGGGATTGTAACTTTCCATGAATTTCCCATTTATCGGTCAATGACAGAACTTTACTTATTTCTTTTTTTGCCCAATGCCGGAAGGTCAAGGAAGTTGGTGACCTGATGACTGGGGAGCCGGCGACCGAAGCCCCGGTGAACGACAGCCGTAACTATAATTGTCCTAAGGTAGCAAAATTCCTTGTCGGGTAAGTTCCGACCCGCACGAAAGGCGTAACGATCTGGGCTCTGTCTCGGAGAGAGGCTCGGTGAAATAGATTGCCTCTGTACTATGAAACGGTAGTGTGTGATTGTGGAGAAGACGTGTGATTGTTCTAGGATTGGGGAAGGAGCTCTTGGCGCGGCGCGGCGCGGCCCGACCTTATCTGGATTGCCTCTCTACTATGAGCAGGAGGCGGGAGGGGGAAGGACCTGAGGCGGAAGCGGAGGGGATATCACCAGGTGGGAGGTCGGGGCTTTCAAGCAATAGGAGGCGAGGCCGGATGGCAACTACGACAGCTGTTTGGTTGATAGAGCTGATTGGTGAAGCAGACAGGAGCTTATCGATAAAGCAGGCAGGAGGTGGCAGTCCGGTGGAGAAATTGCTCTCGGGAAATAAAAAAAAATCTAGGCAAAGCGGCGCCATCGAGGGAGGCAAAGCATCATCATTCCCTGTACTACGCCATGGAGAGCAAGCTCGTCCCATGGTCATTGCTATCTACGCTATGGACGATGAGGGGAAGCGGGCATGAGCTGGCGAGCATCGACAGCATGTTGTTTTTTTTTTCCTCTCTACTGTGAGAGCATCTTGCTTAAGAAGCCTATAGTGGCAGCTTGCTTTCTTACAAGAGAAGCTTGCCTTTGCAACCGATAGTGGCATGTCGAAACCAATCCTACTACGAGATCAACTTGCTTAAGCAAACTGGTCCATTCCATATATGTGCAAAGCAACAGCAAGCTTCCAGTTGAGCAACTTGCTTCACAATAATGACCAAAGCAAGCTGGTCCATCTAATTCCATTTTTGCCAAGCAAGCTGCTCCATTTTATTCAAGCAACTACGAGAAGTGTAATAAGGACAATATTTTGGAAGCGAGTATGGAAATTTTGGAGCAAAATCAGGGCCAGTTCCGACGGAAGTAAGGTGAGTGTAAAGGGGTAAATTCTACGCTTTATGTTTTTTTTAAGTATTTGCTTGAGTACTTTTAAGTATTAAGTTACTTGATGTATGTGCAGTATTTGATTCTTGTTTGAGATTGTATGTTTGTGATTGATTATATATGCTTTGTTTGAGCTATGATTTGAAGTGAATGAGTCTGAGATTATTAGTTACTTTGAAATTTCACGACTATAAGTTATTGTTAAAGTTTAAGAACAAGTTCATTTTTAAGAAGTAACTCACCTTCAATGGAGGTGAAGCCGTTTTAAGTGTTTTTAGTCACTAGCGCCAGTCCGTTGCCATTTGAGATATTTAAGTTGAGCAGCAGTTATGCTCTTGAGATATTTAAGTTGAGCAGCAGTTATGCTCTTGAGATTTTTAAGATGAGTAGCAGTTATGCTCTTGAGAATCGTGGAAGAAGAGCCTTCCACGATAAGTTTAAGTTTAAGGAAAGCCTGGAGGGCTTCTCATACGTATGAGTTGGGCAACCGGACTAGCAAGCGAGGGATCCCCGTGTCAGTCAAGTATTTAAGTTCAGATTTAAGCTTTAAGAATGGAGAGTAACAGTTACTCCCATACAGTTTTAAGAGTTAAGATTTTTTTAAGAATGGAAGTACAAAAAACTTCCCTCAGTTTGAGTTTAAGTGTTTGAGAAGTAAGTGCAAAATTATTAGAAAGTTTAAAACGTAAGGGCGTAGACTGACCCCAACTCACTCACCAGGCCTTAGTAAGGGAATGAACGAGAACCAGATCGACAGCAGCTAGCTAGAGGAGCAGTTAGAGAGCAGCGAGTTTGAGAGGAAAAGTTCGAGGGCGGCCAGCTAGAGGAGGGTAGTGCAAGCGTCACGGATGATGCCTAGTTAAGATTTTCAGTAGCAGCAACAATAGAGAGTACCTAGTTATTTACATTTTATGATTATGAGTATGGACTGGAGATTAGATTGAGATTATAAAGTTTGAGTTTAATTTGCTCACGTGTTAGGGCTTTGCTTTGAACTACAAGTGTGTGTTTTCAGTATTTTATTTATGAAAATTTTTCCCACTGCAATTTAAGATTTGAGTATTTTATTTATCAAGGGCATTTTAGTAAAAGTAGTACCCGGCCGGGTTAGGATGTTTCATGGCGGGTCAAGTTCGGGGGCTAGGGGAGTGTTGATCATCCGTCGAGACATCGCCGACGGTGTTCCGTCATCTTCTGGCGAGGTGGTGGAGATTCCGGATACTGAGTCCGACCCGCCTCGCGAGATGGTTCCCGTAGCCATTCCTCGCGTTTCCGAGGCCATGAGTCAGCTGGGGCTGCGCTACATGACCCGCCTCGCGAGATGGTTCCTGTAGCCATTCCTCGGTATTTATAATGAGTACTGGCGGATGGGGTTTAAGTTCCCGGTGGATCCGTTAGTGTGTTCCCTACTTCGAAGGCTGAAGTGCTCAATCTCCCGCCTGTCGCCGTCCGTGTTGATGCACGCGTCTATGCTCCACCTTGTTTGCAAGCGGCGCGGCGTGACGCCGACTTATGGCTTGTTCCGAAAATTCACCAAGATGAAGGCCCCGACGGAGAATAGTAAGAGTGATTGTTTGTCGCTAAAGCGGCGCGACAAGAGGCCTGACAAGTATGTCTATGGCTCGCCCAAGCTTGACAAGAACTGGTTTGAGCGGTTCTTCTTTGTGAATCCTACTCCCCGGGAAGTGGGCGCGCGAGCATGTTGACTAGCCAACTGTTTGGAAGCATGGCAGCATGAAGGGGGGTTTGAGTCGGAGATGTGGGTGCTTATGATCGCTTGGAGGATGAGTATGAGATGCTTCTCGAGGAGAAGATTGACCTCTATCACAAAGAAGTCTGCGCGGCTCATCTTGCGGAGTTATTAACGATGGTTAGTTCCTTCTTTTGTCTGTGTATTTTGTAATATTAACGGACTTCTTATCAACAGACACTACCAGATATGCCTGGGTTCGGAACGTTTGTTTCCACCCACTTTCGAGACGTGCGGGTGCATTCTGGTGCCGCATCGTCTTTTACTGCCGCGCAGAGTGCTCTGAACACTCTAGGCCCCATCTTGAGAATTCCTCCGCGGATGGAGAACACCGACCCGCTCCACTGCCTTGCGCAGATCCACTTTGCAGTGAGTAGCATTTTACGTGTTGGCGTGATTTTCAACTTGTATTTTGCCTCTCTTTTTCCCTCTTCCTTTTTTTTAAAGGCATGCGGCGGATTGTTCCTTTGTGTAGGGTTTGCTGGCAACCTTCTGCGCCCAGTAAGAGCGGGCCAATGACACTGCTACGTTGAAAGCGGAAGTGAACAAGGGCATTCAGCTCGAGGGAAAGGTGGCAGGAGCTGAAAGTCACGCGGAGGACGCGACGAAGAAGGCGAATGAAGCCCTGGAGCGGCTTTGTCTTCTTCATAGTAAGTTGTCCAATGAAGTTGCTACTGAGAGTAGGAGTTGCTTCCCATGGGGTATTTGAAGTTTGTCCTGACATATTATATTCTTTTGTTTTTTAACTCGCGGCCCCACGGTGGGCGCCAATTGTTTGTGTCTAACTGAGAGTAGGAGTGAAACACAAAAGTAAGTGGGGTGCGAGTATAGTTAAGAAGCCCTCCGCGTATTTCCTTTACTTGATCACAAGCTTACAAGGTTTAAGGCCAAAAAGGGAGAGAGAGAGAGAGAGAGAGAGAGAGAGAGAGAGAGAGAGATGATTTTAGAGTTTCTAGTGAGAGAGAGCTAAAATCCGATCCCCTCACCCACCGGTGTAAATACTCTATTTATATGCTACCACTCAGTGGGTGGGTTTTCGAGATGACATGACAGTTGGAAAAGACAGGGGTTTAGGGTATGATGATGTCTACGAATAGGGCTGAGTAGCCTTGTCAGTCGTCCGGTGTTGTTTTTGAGTATTGCACGCAGATCGCGCTATCGCGCCCCCGCTCTTCTTGGCGACTGGCGGTGATGGAGTGGCATTACCGTTGCGGTAACGCAAATGGCATTGGCGCGCTTCCATTCCTCTTGGTAATCCGCGTTTCCTTTCTGCTCGGAATGAATGTTGCTCCCCACGCCGCATCACCGCTTGTGTGGCCTGATCTGTCTTCCGCGAGTGAGACATTGTGAGCGCCCTAACTGGCGCGCCGTAATAGGTACGTCGATTAATGGAGCGGATGAAGTCGAGCCATTCCCCCAACAATATCCTTCGACACGACTGAAAAGTTCCTTCCTATTTTTCATAATTCCATAACAAACAAAAGAGTCGGCATTAGAAAAGTATTAATAAGCACTATATATTAAAATATATACAAACAACCACATATATATGAAATCTATACACATTAACTTACAAATTACTCGAATCCCTTTCATATCGCAACACAGCACACTTCAACACATCATGATCGACACCTGATGACCCTCCTGCATTCTTCACCTTCAATGTTTTCTAATTTTTAAAGCAACCCACAAATTAGATAAAGCAGCACAAAAAAAAACTAAAACAAACCACAAATGCGATAAACCACACTACAAAAACAAACCAAAACTGGAACATTGTACAATAAATTACCTTTCCCGTCCTAAGACTCTCAATTATCTGACTCAATTGTAAATCTGCACTATCGTCACCACCCTTAAGCACCTCACTGGCATTAGCTTCTTTTCTTTTGGCATCAACCACCAAATTTTCACGAACACCCCCCATAGCAGACTATAGAAACCACACCACAAAAGTTTTTAACATAACCAGATATATGTAAACCACACTACTAACAAATGCAAAACAACCTACTACAAAATACATGACAAACAAACCAAAAACAGTATAATCCACACCACAAATATTCAAACACAAAACACTAAAAATACCTTTATGACCTTCTCAACCAAGTTACCCAACTTAGCAGCGTCAACACCATCAACATTGTCATCCCCATCATTTACCTTGTCCCTTTTCCTCACAGCTATCCATATGAGAAACACTGCCAGGAGCACGAACCTTCTTATTCATAGCATTATCAGAATCAACATTTTTTTCTGTCATCTCCATTGTCAGATCATCAAGCCCCTTCGGATCTGATACTCCCTTAGCAGCGGTATCATCATTAGCAGTGCCAGCAGGATCATTGTGACCCACATCTGGAGACACGTCCTTGCTTTC